GTTTCTGATATTAAGTGTTATTTTCCAGGATATCCGAGTGGTTTTAGATCGAAGAATACGTTAAAAATTCTTATAGAGTACTTTTGAATCTGTATCTTGAAAAGTTAAAAAAAAAAACAAAAACGTATAAATGGAATTACGATACATGCACACAGCCAACCACACGCATTATTAAGGTGTGTTTATCCATCCGCCCAAAATATCAATGCGACATTGGAAATGTATCTGCTTAAAAAGGTAACAATAATTATGACGAAAAATCGCGTTTAACAACAACGTATTTTTATTGTTTGGTGTGATCACGAAAGAGATACGACTATAAGATGGGTGAAGTCAATAAAAGGAAACATAATTTATAAATCCTATGGCTTCAGAATGATTCTGACTCCAAAGCTGATAAGAGATAAGCTATTTCTAATTTTCAAAAATGAAGCACATATGAGAAGAAAGATAGAAAGTTCACCAGAATTAAACAAATATATCAGTTTGAAATCATATATGAGTGATGGATAAATTCTTCATAAGAGAAAAATCAAATTTGCTTTGCGCTTCTAGTCATTTTCTTTTTCATTCGGAAGTTTGTTATAAAATCAAAAAGATAAAGAAAAGAACTTATTCTGACAATTGACCGGACAAATATTCCTAAAATATATTTTTCCAGTCGATAAAATAGGTAGAAAAAGTTAAAGAATTTTTCAGTTAAGTTAGAAAAAATGTGGGGTGAAAAATCAAAAGTGTATTTTTTATTACGTAATGTTTCTTTTTTTATTTATTGATGTTTCTTTTTTATTTATTTATGTTTCTCTTTTATTTATTTATTTTATGTTTCTTTTTTTATTTATTTATATTTCTTTTTTATTTATTTATATTTCTTTTTTATTTATTTATGTTTCTTTTTTATTTGTTTGTTTTTTATTTATTTATGTTTATTTTTTATTTATGTTTTTTATTTATTTATGTTTCTTTCTTTATTTATTTATATTTCTTTTTTATTTATTTATATTTCTAATTTATTTATGTTTCTTTTTTATTTATGTTTCTTTTTTTAATTTATTTATGTTTTCTATTTCTCGGAACCCGAAGAAATCTGTAGGGTAAATAAGGGTGAATTAAAGAAAGATTTACCCAAGCACAAAAAGGCCCTACTAAGCATGTTGTTCAAAAAGAACATTGTAGATGGCAAGACAGTAGAGGATCCCCGTAATTTCCCGGAGGCCCCGGAGTTATTACTTGTATAAAGGAGACGGGGAGTCGACTCAGCGTATGGAGCCATGTGTATGAGGCAAAAGAGGCCTTTCCTAAAATTAGGATGCTAGAGGTGGACTCACATGTTTTAAAAAAATTCAGGCAGTTCTGTTCCGGGAGGGTCCCTGTCATACTCCCTCTTTATACAGAGCCGTTAAGTTAACATACCCCATGGACGTCGGCGGAATTGCCCTGGATGGGCGGATGACGTCAGAGCTTGGTGTAGGGAGCCCAGGGCATGCCGTCGGGGTCCTGACTGACGCAGATTTCCGCCCGGTATGTGAATAGGTTAATTCTGTCTTTTATATTTTACAGGTCGCCCGACTTCGGTATTTAGTCACCCTCCCCACGAGGGCATCATGTGGCACAAGGCCGGTTTAACGTAGGATCTCCGAGCCCGTGGGATCTCCGAGCCCGTAGGCTCGGCCAAAAATATGCCTTTTGAACCCGTATAAACGGGTTCAGGGTCGGTTTACTTCCCCGAAAGAGACTCCGCCCTTCGGCGTAGCCTCGTTCGGGTTCCTCCCCTCCCGAAGGCAGAGAGTTCAACCGATCAGCCGGTCGCCCGACATCGGGCTGAACTCCCTGCTTCCTCTTGAGGCGCAGTATTTATTACGTATGGAATAGTCCATTATGTTATTATGGGTAAGGTCCCATAACATTTATATTTCTTTTTCATTTATTTATATTTCTTTATTTCTTTATTTATGTTTCTTTTTTTATTTATTTATGTTTCTTTTTATTTATTTATGTTTCTTTTTTATTTATTTATGTTTCTTTTTTATTTATATTTCTTTTTATTTATTTATGTTCCTTTTTTATTTATTTATCTGAAATGTTTGTCAATGTCTTATGAATATTGGATATTTGAGATTTGCTGGAAGTGAAGCAGAAAAGCTTGTTGTTTCTTCAAGAATAACTTATGCTGACAGATAAGTAAATGAGGTGGGAATGTTAGCTGCTTACTGAACACACAAATGTTCAGGCTGGACAAGATAAAGCTAGACACACGTTTTTTTTGTTTTACTAATACATCTAAGCTCTATATAAAAATAAGGAAAAATTAACTGATATGATAATCTATTGGGAATCAAGGACTTACTTGACAAGTAGCACTGCTAAAATAAATTAAATGAGATGAGATGACTTTATCGTCCTTATAGCTTTGATGGATCGGATTGGAAAAGCGGAAAAATGAAGAGAAAATGAGAAAATTAGAAGCTTCGAGCGTCTACGTTAAACTGTAATAGCGTGCAAAGAAAAACTGTAAGCACGATCAATATTTTAAACATGAAACTCAGTAAAAGTAACATCACTGTCGTACTTGAAGTCTATTGTTTTTTCTTTGTTGCTAAAATTGATTCATTTTGTTTTGATGAAATAAAGAAAATAGTCGATGTTTTTTTTAGTTTGTGTCATTTCTATGGCGGAGGGGAAAATCTAAAGCCATCAAATAAAACAATCATTTTGAACTGTCGCCGTTCTGAGAAAATGAGTGCTTTCAGAAAATATCATCATCATTCATCGTCGTCGTCGTTATCATCATAATCGTCGTCGTCATCATCATCATCATCGACGTCATCATAATCATCATCATCGACGTCATCATCATCATCGTCGTCATCATCATCGTCATAATTATCATCATCGTCATCATCATCATCAACATCATCGTCATTATCATCATCGTCTTCGTTATCATATTCATCACCATCATCGTCATCGTTATCATCATCATCATCGTCGCCATAATAATCATCATCATCGTTGTCATCATCATCATCATCGACGTCATCACAATCAACGTCTTCGTTATATTCATCATCGTCATCATAATCATCATAATCATCGTTGTCGTCATCATCAGCGTCGCCATAATAATCATCATCATCATTATCGACGTCATCACAATCAACGTCGTCGTCATCATCATCATCGTCATCGTTTTCATAATCATCATCATCGTCGTCAACATCATTAACGTCGTCATAATCACCATCATCATCATCATCGTCATCCTCATCGTCGTCGTCATCATCATCATCATCATCGTCAATGTCACATAAACATAATGCCTAAAAACTGAAGAGTTGTGTTATGCAAAAAATAAAGACAAACAAAAAGATTATTTGCCTACAAAAATATTGTTTTTTATTTCTTTTTCTTGCATTCATTTAGTTTTTTTGGAACATTTTGAAATGCGCCTAATACTACGGTCGACAGAAAATGAATTGTAAAACTATTTTTGAAACACTTAAAATATTTCGATAGCGAGTGTTGTTCATTAATTGGAGTTCATCAATAAAAAAAAAATTATCTTCTTCACTTGAGATCGAAAGGTGATTCATTTATTTAACAAAGAGGCACCGCACTTGTTTTTCAACTGAGACAATTTGCCGAATCGAATGATAGACAATAATTACACAAACTGCTTGCTACGACTGATGTTGGATTGATTAATACTTTTGCCTGAATATAGTTTTAAAATTGTTCCACTCGCAACTACAAACAGTCGATTAGGTTATCCAGGACAATGCAAAAACGAACTCACATCTCTTGTAAATATCTATACAAATGATAAAACAGTGAACCTTGAACTATTTCAATAATCAGCTGATCTCTCCTCGGATCTAGCTTTAACAGATCAAAGGTGGGGGGAGGGGAACGGGATGTGCAACATTCAATGCCTCCAAAACCAAACTAGTAATGTTCCACCATCACTAAACAGACCCAGAACTTTCACCCATCGCGATGGACGGGTGTTCTCTCAAGGAGCCACCCGCCTTTTCCTTGAATGCCGATTAAAACTCAAGCTCACCCCAGACTTAGCTGAACTCGTATATACGAACCATTGCAAAAAATGCTGGAAAAATGATCGGTTCCTTGTACCGCACTTGATCCCGACCACTCTGTCCTATCTTTACAAGAGCCAGATCAGGTCTAAATTGCTGCCATATCTGGACCGGAGCTGGGAACCTCGACGTGGTGTAATGGTTAGAAAGCTTGTCTTGCTAGACCAGTTACGACTGAGTAGTGAGTTCAATCCTCACTGGGTGCCCCATACTTTCGGCCTTGTGCCACATCTAATCTGTGCTTAGAATATCACTATCTGGGTTGGAGCCTCCTAGTTCTCACTTGCCAGGCTTAATAGAGCTTAGACGCGTCTTCGCGGCCCTATGGGTGATGAATTATTTTCCACAATGCAACCCCTTTCCCACAGAAAAAAAACGTTGCAATCTTTTCGTTACTCTACCACTATTTCCATAGAAAATGTTCTGACAAGCTTTATTCCATAGTTCCACCAACCCCGATCTTCACAGTGAAGACCCACCACGCGATGAACACTGTGAATATGAATTCCCATTTCTTTCATATTCCTTTAGTAAGGAGAAAGTTCAATTCGGACAGTTTCTTTCCAGGGACTGCTGTTTCGTGGAACAGACTCCTGAGAGGATGCTTCCCCGATCACTATAATCCTAATCTCTTTAAGAGTTAATCATTATCTTTCCTGTATATCGTCTTAAACTTCAATTCTTACTTTCTCATCTTATGTCCATTAATCTCAAGCACTAACCTTCTACTTTGAGTGGCTCGTGGCAAGAAAGCAGCCTTCAACTTTGCTGTCCTGATTTGTCTGGAGAGAGCCACGAAGCCATGTAAATGATTATTATTATTATTGTTTAACCAATACAACCGGTTTCAAAGATTCTTTCCCCTCCCCCCCCCGCCAAAAAATATCCTAATTTCCATCAGCTATGAGACCTGTTCCCTGTTCAGGTTGTCTCCGTGTCCCTACACCCCTAGCATATAAAGATCTTATTTCTTCATCATATGAAGAATTGCCTTCAGAGGAAAATTTTACCAAGTCGGTCTGTTCTGAAGAAAATGTTTCTGTTTATTCAAGAGCAAGCCTCCCCTCCCCGTTGAATTTAACCCGGATGACCTTGTCCGTGATGTGTCCCTATCTAAGCAGCAGTCAGACCTTCTGGCATCCCAGCTTAAGCATGTTAGAATTTTTGGGTATTATGTACTAGTGAGCTAGCCAAAATGAGCTGACTCATTTTAGAGTCCACCAAGAGAAGGGTTAACCAATCAGAAAGATCAAAATATTCAATCCGACGTGTATAAAGGCAGCCATTTTGTTTTTTCTCTCAAAATATCTCCACTGCCAACCTGATATCGAAGACTTCAAGAATTAACAACCGCTACTTTCTCCGAATCTACACTGCCAACCTCTGATATTGGAGAGATTACGGACTTCACTGGATTCCATATTCAGAGACTACGGCAAACATGGTCAACAAAGCAGTGGAACTTTATTTAAGTATTTATATACCATTAAAAAGATGTTATATATATATATATATATATATATATATATATATATATATATATATATATATATTTCCCATGGAGCTATGTAAAGTACCAGGTTGAGAACTGGCGCGGGCTATCTGCTCTTGATGAGGGTGAAAAGAAATCTCTCTGAGCTTTGGTTAGCAATCCTTTTAGTGTTGGTTTCCCGATAAAAAAAGACTTCAGATGGGAAAGAAAACTCATGAAAGCTTAACCCGGTCATTATATTGTATGTATTTGCCGAGAGGCGTGTACTGGCTGATATTGACTGTGAGGTTAAAGAGGTTAAACTCAGCAATAATAACACATGAGGACTGTTTTTTCATATACTCCTTTCTTTGGACAGCAATATTTCTCGCATTTCTGATTGACTGTAAGAATTTATTTCACTTCTGATTGGTTAGAAAAGACGAGTGACAAAATTCGATTTCTTGCAAGCTGTAATTTTGGTCGATTTTGTTTAGCGTCATATCAATCTTTATGGGTCATTTAATCCGAAATCTAAATATTTTGTACATAATTTTATACTTTCAAGGTAAAGGTATTTTTTTAAAATATTGATGTTTTGTAGACCATAAAATCTATTGTTGGTCATTTTATTATAAAAAATGTACTCTTGATTTTTGTTTTGGGGTTCACTATTTGCCCATAGCTGGGACCCTAACAGGTGCTACCACCCTAGATCAGGGTGGACCTGGAAACAACGGCAATTAAGTGGTGGTTGCCGGCTCCCCAATATCTCCAATCTCCCGATCAGAGGCCTTTCTGCTGAATGTAGTTTATTTATAAATATTATGTAATTTATTATAGTTTATCGTCATACCCAGGATAAAAGCTGTAATTTTACTTTTGCTCAGAATTTATACTCCAACGAAAGTACCCTTTGTATTATGTGACTTGTTTGTTTTGTTATTTCTTTTAAATCTCTTCCTTATATGCCAGTGTAGCAATACGATTTCTTACACATCATTAGGAGATAAGTAGATAGATTCGTTTTCCTTTTAAGTCAATTTAATGACCAGAGTTTCTTAGGAATCTCGTCTCCAGTTCATCTTTTAAGTCAATTTAATGACCAGAGCTTTCAGAAGTCCTGTCTTCAGCCTCCCTTTGAATTGACAAACATATAATTTTATTAGTGATTTTAGATAATCATAAAAGTAGAGTCCTTTTTCGGAAAACATGTGGACGGATAGGGGTGGTGGGACTACAGCCTGTATCCATATAATGATCCAGTAAGTCAGGAAGTGGGCGGTCAGTCAGGGGCAGTCAGTGAGGAAGGGAGGAACGAGCAGTGAATATAAGGGTGCTCTTTCCGTAGTCAGAAGTTAGTAAGATAGCAGTCCATCTTCTCGAAGCCGAAGGAAGACATTACTGATTTAGTGAGAAATCGTATTGTTTGCTATTTCCCAATCAGTGTCTTGAAAAATAATTGTTATACTTTGTTTAATTCGATTACGGCCAGTGAGGCAAACCTGTGAATATTAGCGAGTCGGGTGTATATGCTCATATAGTCAACCTTGGATGTCATCACAGCTTGTGCAGTGACGTGTGGAAGAGGCAACAGGCGGAGCGAAAGAAACGACGCAAATTGCTAATTTTTGGGGACATACCGATCCAGCTATATTCTTTTTATCCCTTTTCCTTATAGACAGTAAATTAAAATTATGAAAATGGTGAGAAGTTCTGCGATGCTTCGAAAAATAGTCCAGTTGCTTTTTGAAAACTTGAATTCAGCGAATTCAACTCTTAATTACAGACTTTCCATTTTGATTAATAAGAGGTTGTGGGGAGCCATAATCGCCAACGTCCTGAAGGTATACAGTGCAAAAGAACTGTTGTGACCAAGCAAATGGTTAAGGAATAACAAAACAAGAGGTTGCAGATAAATCGTGTATTGAACAGTAAATACAAGAGAAGAGTATTACACGACTTGGGAATGTGTGTCGATTGACCAGCCTTCAATCTATACTACTGTTAATATTTAACAGCAACCCCTCCTCCACGAGGGTTATATGTGGCACAAAGCCGAGCTTAACGTGGGTCATCCGAGTCCGTAGGCTCGGCCAAAAATTCCCCGTAGAACCCGCATAAACGGTCTCGGGTCTGTCTACCTCCCCGGACGAAACTCTGCCCTTTTGGCACAGCCTCGTCCGGGTTCATCTCTACCCAAGGCAGAGAGTTCCACAAGAGCTTCGAACAGTCACGGCCTTGGTAGAACAATCAATATCACTTTTATATTTAATATCCCCCCTCACGTGGGTTATATGTGGCACAAGTCCGGGTTTTGTGGCACGTGGGTCATCCGAACCCGTAGGGTCGGCCAAAAAATCCCCGTAGAACCCGCATAAATGGGTTCGGTTCTGTCTATCTCCCCGGACAAGACGCTGCCCTTTTGGCACAGCCTCATCCGTGTTCATCTCTACCCAAGACAGAGAGTTCGACAGGGGCTTCGAATAGTCACAGCCTCAGTAGAACAGTCTATATCACTGTTAATATTTAACAGCCCCCACCTAGCACAAGGGGTGTATGTGGCACAAGGCCGAGTTTACCGTGGGTTCTCCGTGCCCGTAGGCTCGGCCAAAAATATTAGCGTAGAACCCGTATAAACGGGTCCGGGACTATCTACCTCCCTGGACGAAACTTTGCCCTTCGGCAAAGCCTTGTCCGGATTCCTCTCTGCCAAAAGCAGAGAGTTCGACAGTTGAACAGTTTAGATTGCTGTTCCTCACGAGGCTTTACTTTTCCTACTACTTGGTAATAAGTGGAAGAGTCCAAAATAGACTCATTAGAGGGAAGACACTACAACAAAAACAGAATTTCAGATAAAGTTTTTTGTTTCAGAACACAGCTGTCCCCATCGACTTTAACGTGTTCCAGAACGTTCCTCGTGAAACACGACCAGCGGCAGAATTTTAATCGAATGAACCTTTATTTTTGCGTGTTCTTCATTTGCGACCAGTAGTTTCGTTATAACGCGAAGTGGAGCTCCTCGTATTTACTAAGCTAAGCTTAATTTTTGGCACAAGGTTGCTTGAGGATCGAACTCACTACTGGTGGTTTACCAGAATGGCCTTTGCTATCCATTTACCTATGCCGAGGTCCCAACGAAGTGGTGCTGTTGATAGTAGCCTTAAGAATAAAAATGGTGGATCGAGATCAAATTGTTGATGTCTCTTTCACATTGATTTTTCCCGAAAACGTATAAATTTACTATTTTACGAGCTCAGTTCTGCCAATAGTCATCTTATTAAAACATTTATTGTTGTAATTCTAATAAGGTGATAAAGAGAGTAATTAATACTGCACGAACATATTCCAATACCTACACGATCCTGAAATCCCCGCGATGAGGATTGACGGTAGAATGAATCCTCTACGCTCAGTGAATAATCGACCAAGTTAACATGAAGGGCGAAGTACTTTGATGTTTTCTGTATTTCGAAAGACTTTTTCCCCCTCTGCTGATTCCCTTCCTTTCTGTGTTTTTTATGAATGATTCACAACCACGTGGGAAACATTGAGGGAGGGTAATATTGAAGGTGGGAAACATTGAGGGTGGGAAACATTGAGGGTGGGCGCTAGGCGTTGGCCTTGGAAGGATGAACAGCTTAGTCACGTGATTATGTTCTTTGTCCCACCCCTTCTAAAAGACCTTACAGTAGTAGCAGTAGCAATGCAACTTCATTACAAAGAGATAAGATTGGGTTCATTGACACTGCACTGCATCTAGGTAGCCCCCCTTTTCTCTCACTCAGCCGGTATCGATTCGACGCGGGAGTTGGCCGCTTTGAAATCATGGACGTTATCATGGGAGAAACTGGCTTTATTTTTTTTTCTTTTCTCCGCTCCTAGTCGAATCCTTTCATACCAGGGGGAAAAATACGTGGGGGGGGGTGGA